AAATGCTTCCAGAACATTCTGCCCCCTTTCCTTGCCTATAAAAGGCAGGCCTAGTGCCTTGTTTTACAAGTTTGGAGAAGTTTTATATCCCTGAAAATTCCCCAAAACCTTCAGCTCCAAATTTCCCCCAAATATACATTTTCTGCAAGTTTTAAGATCTGAAATTTGAATTTCAAATTCAAATACTCAAATCTGAACTACTACAATTCAAAAAAATTCCTTAGATCTTAGTTCTTAAAAGTAAAAAACCAAAAAGAGCATAAAACTCCAAAAAATGTTATTCTACTAAATTTCACAGTTTAGTTTCAAGTTCTGATCATTGATTTGAGTTTCCAGCCTAGATAAGGATAGAAATAGCTTGAGAATTCATTGTGTTTGGTTGCTGAAACTCAAAAGCTGTCCTGAGTCTGATTTCGAGTCAATTAGGGGTTGATCAAGTCTGTTTGGATCATATTTGATGCTATTCTCCTGTCATCCAGTCCTGGACTTTGTGATGTTATTTTGAGTCCAAAATCCACCCTGTGCTGTTAATTTCGACTACTGGTTGCTCCCCTTGCCGCTGCTGACTCCTTCTTCTTTCTCTTTGTTTTGACTCCAGGTACATCCTCAACTCTGCCTCAATGTAACTTTGAGATTGGAATGAATGAAACATATTCATGACTCTATTCCTGATCTATGTTCATTTTCTGTTGATTTTTAGATAGCTAATTGATATATAGTTGTTAGATCTAGTTTAACTTTGGGTTTGTACTAATATAAACAATGGACTGTGAGTTGATACATTTGTTTAGCTATTGACTTAAGCAGGGCGTAATTCTCAGACTTCTCCTCTTTCATTTTAGTTGAATTTTATCCACTCAAATGCTAGTCATCAATTCAAGTGTAGAATTTGGTTATCTTGTTTTGGATTTGAATTGTTGACGTCTCAGGTATAGCTGTAATCAATACCTCACTTAGAGTATTAAATAAGCCATGTTAGTTAGATTTGGAGGTCATAACAATTGAACTCTGTAATTTAATTGTTTGGTGGATATATTTGACAATCACATGCAGAATTAATTTGCCAAATTTAGCCTATGCTTCCAGTTTTAACCCTTAGTAGAGAAGTAGATAAAAGGATCTGAGTTTTGGGAATAAAATCAAGCCTGGTTCGTTCTTATTGAGTTAGTTGAATTTAGAAACAACACAAAGTAATAATGAAATTAGTATTTCCATGAAAATTAGCATTTCAATTCGGATGAATATGTTTGGATTTAGGCTCAGCGTGCATTGATTTGGTTAAACTTGAAGAGAGTCCAATTATGTTTACTAAACGCAATTTGGCGGGCCCAATGGGGCAGTTTCCTGAAGCTCTGTTTACTACTTCTAATAGTGGGCTCGCGGAGGCCCAAAATCCTGAACGTTGAGTATGAATTGGGTCTAATGTCAACTAAAGATAAAATTGCACTACCAATCTGGGCCTAGTGTCATAATAAGAAGCCCAAGGCTGGTCCAGTTTCAGCATAAGCTGTATTTTCCCTCTTCTTGGGCCAAACTTCCAAGGCCCAAAACCGTTGGAAGCTAAAAATCCATTAAAATTACATTAGGAATATGGGGATTAATTTGCGATATAAATTTAGGTTTTCGAGTTAGGTAGCGGGTTCAAATTAAGAGGGTCCTCCCTTTTTTTGAATTCGGACTTGAACTCGAGGCCCAAATTTATAAATGCAAATTAATTAAGCCCTTTTTAGAGACAAAAAATAAATAGAAAATCGTAGTTTGCTTTAGGCTGGCCTTTAAATAAAAGTGAGATGAGCCTCGCCAAACAAAAATGCATAAGTTGCGGGGCCCTCATTAATGCTTAACTAAAAATACTTAGAATTTGGGGCGTGCCGTTTAGCGAATTTCACGGCCTCCTGCAAAGATAATAACTCGTTAGCCGCTTTAGGCGCGCTTTTAATAATTTTACCTTCCTAAATACGGGTGTGCATTTCATGCAACCCAAATCCAAGTCCCAAAACGTTGAATAAGAATGTGTCGAGGATCCGGGTGCATTTCATGTGGCGTGATCCAAAGACACGTTTTTAAACGACGTTCACTTTCGTAAAAATTAACTAAAAGCGGTGAGTAATTTTAAAATTACATTATAGGTTGGAACATGTATAAGAATTAGATTTTAGCCATTTATAATAATTTAAGCGACCGTGCTAGAACCACGGGATCCGGGGGTGCCTAACACCTTCCCTCGGGTCAACAGAATTCCTTATTCAGAATTTCTGGTTCGCAGACTCCAATTGGGAAGTCGACAATTTTCCTCGATTTGGGATTTAAGTTTAAATCGGTGACTTGGGACACCACAAGTCCATCCTATCCCAAGTGGCGACTCTAAAAAATAAATAAATGATCCCATTTCGAATAATGTCACTTTAATTGGAAAAACTCCCTTATACATTATCCTTCGGATTAGTTGTGTAAAAAAAGAGGTGTGACAATCAGTTGTGATTTTGATTCATTTGAAAAAAAAAATCTACATCAATGGTATACCATTTCAAAATCTTCGTGTCAGGAAAGAATTAAATCTTTGCTAATAAGCTTACAAAGATGGTTATAAAATGTACGTATAACCTGATTTTGCTATGACATTAATGTCAAGTCACATATATGTTATTGTCCTACCCATTCAAATTTCCGTATCTATTTGTACATTAATCTTGAACTTTGGTTAATGTCACGACTTAAAATCTCACCGGAACCGTAATTACGTCTAACACTAGTTGTTAGGCAAACCAACATTCAATATTCAAAAATAAACTTCAATAATAGTAAGAAATAATCTCAAAAGCGGAATAACATAAATAACTGAAGTCAAATAGCGATACAACTGAAAAACCATCCATAAAACATGTATTAGTACATGATAATGTAGAATTTTTTGGACGTACTCCAATTGGCCTAATTTATCATGGGTCCATAGGAAACGGCCTAGTGACTAATACTCATTGATTCACCATAACTTTCGGGTTAATTTTATAGTGTTTCGTGGTCATGCAACACGACTTTGTGATTATATCCACTTTTTTGTTTGTATTGTAAAAAAATAAAAAAAAATGAGAAAAATACACTACGGGGCATCTTTTAAAAAGTATTTAAGATAATGGTATTAATTTTTGTTTATTCCATTTATAGCACATTCTTTTACAATATCAGCATACCGTAAAGATTTATGGAAACAATTAATGAATAACATAAATTATGGGATTAGTTTTATCCTTATTTATCTTTTATATTCTCTCTCCTCATATTTTCTATTCTAAATTTTAGTTGCTTGAATTAGCATTCAAATCACTCTCTTTTTCTATTCTAAATTTCTTTCCTTTATTTTAGCATTCAAATAGTCTGAGAATATTTTTAGTACTTTGAATATTTATATGAATAGTATAAATAAAATATGTCATATATATATATGAGATATGTTTTCCAAAATGAAATAGAGTCCATTACAATGGTGTTTTTAGTATATTAATATACAGAGTATACTGTATCCTTCAGCCATTGTATGTATATATTATTTTTTAATGTAATAATAGTAGATAATTAAATATATACATAGTATTATAATTGTGTTTGTGTGCGTGTGCGTGTGCGTGTATGTATATATATATATATATATATATATATATATATATATATATATATATATATATATATATATATTGTATATAAAAAAAACTATTAATATCATCATTATACTGTATAAAAAATTATATTGACATACAGCAAATAATAAAACTTTATACCAATGGTATATATAATTATATCATTTGTATACGCATAATGTACAATTCAATATTGTTTGACAAAAAGTTGGAGAGTCATGTTAATCTGCAACAAATAAGATTCATAAAAGTTTTAGAAAATAAATATAAGCTATGTCTTCCAAAATGAAATAGAGTCTACTAATCTCATATATGCACATAGCAACAGAAAACACATTAATCTCTTCATATAGTTCAGCGCTAATTTAGGAAGTTAAGGAGAAGAAACGGAACTGCTTTGAATTTTCTTTTTTTTGGAATTGAATGCGTTTAGGTAACTGAAATTTTTTCTTAAATATGGCCTATTTATGTTTTTTCCTTACAGACTTTTACTGGCCCATAGGAAATGGCTTATTGATCAATATTCATTGCTTTGTCATGACTTTCGAGTTCTATCTTTTTTATGTTTAGGTCATGCAACACGAATTTTAATTATATCCACATTTGTATTTTAATTATATCCACTTTTTTTTTTTTTTTTTTTTTTTTTTTTTTTATGTATTAGTACATAGGTAGTAAGCACTCGATATAAAACTATAAATAAGAAAAATACAAAAGATAACGTTATGCTAGGTTGGGGCCTGTGTAGCATATGGGCATTTCCTCACTATCCCTTTCATAAATGACAAACATTCTGGACTTGTTACCACGGCTTTTAATTGGGAAAATTTTAAAATAGCCAGATTTACAACTGGTCGTTCAAAAATAGCCCAATTTCAAAAGTAATTGAAATTTAGCCACTTTTTATGTAAAGATAAATCTGAGCGAAAACACTGTTCAAAACCCGAAAAATACTCCAGTATATTATGCTGGAGTTCCAGCATATTACACTAGAGTTCCAGGATAGTACACTAGAACTCCAGCATAATATACTGGAGTTCCAACAAGTATATTGGTCCAGTATAATATACTGGAGTTTGGAGCATCAGTGCTCCATTCTCCAGTATATTATACTGGTGCCAGCAAAGTATACCAGTCCAGCATAATATGCTGGAGTTCATACACAAGTGCACCGAACTCCGGTATATTATGCTGGACCGGTCTCTATTGCAGCAAAACGGTGGCTATTTTTCATTGACTTGGTAAATGCCGGCTATTTTTGATTGACCAGTCCGAAAACTGGCTATACCGTGCTATTTTTACCTTTTAATTTGGTTAAGTTTGGTAAATAATGAATCAACTATAAAACAGAAAAACATACCTGTCTGGAGTACAAGGCAAGTCATTTTCAGATGAATATCGATAAGTTACAACGAAAACGTTTGAGTCGTCCACACAGTATAACTTCAAGTTTTCATATAAACCAAACTTATTGTTATATCAAATGAATGAAGGAATTGTTTTTTTTTTTGCAAACTATAAACAAATACTCTATTGTATCGGAATCTCTTAGGTATGAAACATACTGTAAGAAACTTGTCTCCATTTTGACGTACACAAAGCTAAAAGACAATCTTACTTGGGATTCATTCGAAGCGCCTGCAGTTTGGCAGCTATATCATCATAATCAGGCAGCTTTGGATGTACATGACTAGCTTTATTCATACTATCCTCTCTGGAAAATTTGTTCCCACTCGAGGCTGGTGCCTTTAGAGCATCATTGCTACCTGATGTTGCTGACGTTTGGGTAGAGCTTGATGGTTGTTCCACCCTTGACTTCCGACTCCCTTCCTGTGATGTGATCTTGGGCTGTGAATTAGGCCTTGAAACTGTGGGTCTAACGCTGGGCTGCTCCGAACTCTTCCTTTTATCTGATGGGGCTTCATGTATCTCACCACTGTAAAAATTCCTGGTCAGTCTCTGCGGTACTTGTGTATCAGCAACATAAGAATTCATGACAGGTTTCTGGGTTTCCTGTACTTTAGCACTGAATGAGTTCCTGCTGGATTTTCTGTCTGAACCCGAGTCGGTATTAACAGCTGCCTCGTAGCTCATTTTAAACTTAGAGGAAAAGTTTGTATCTAAGCTGGAGGAAGAGGCTTTAGTCCTACGAGAGAATCCACTACCCAATTGACTTCTACCAGCAAGAGATTGCTCTTTAGGACCAACCTCGGAATCACTGCTATCAGAATCAAAATATGTAGTTGAACCTCGTAAGACCGCATGTTTTGTATTAACTTTTCTTCCTGTTTCTTGTCTGTAACTTGAAGTCTCTTGTGAAAAATCCTCACCAGAACTGTCAGTATCTGAATCAGAACGGGTGCCTTCCAATCTTGAGCTTGACTTCTCGTCTCTTTTCATCCTCACTCCTAAACCAACGGAACTCTTAGGGGGGGCAACAGCTTGTGACCTCAACTCGGGACTTTCCTGAGGTTCCTCTACTGAAGATGAAACATTATTTAACTGGCTCCTTATGTAAGGTGGAGGGATATGACCTTTGTGCTTAAGGCCACCTGTTAACTTCCCAAATGTCAATTCCTTTTCGAAACCAGAAACTGAAGAAGCTAAACTACCATCATCTGTCTGTGTCCCGGGCAAAGCTGGGGCACTGCCGTCGTCCTTTCTATCTTGGGATTTTTTATGCTTATGCTCATCTTCTGAACTGAAACTAAGTGAGTCACTTTTATCACCTTTAACTTGTCTTTGCACTCCTCCGGACACCATTTTGTCGGACAAGGAGGAGGATCTTGGTGAGTCATGATTCCATGCATGTTCATACGACACATTTTGAATATCTTTTGACCTCCCAATCGGGGAGCGGACCATCTCGCTGTCACTTTCGGAATTCATACAATCAGAATCGTCAAAGGTTGGCACAACATTCTCTAGTCGTGAATCGTTACCAGAGGCAACCAAGTTTTCAGATAATTGAGGAGAGTGCCTTTCCACAAAGATTTCTGACGACAAAGGAGACTTCTCCGGTGATTTGTCATAGTGAAAGCTCCACGAGTTTTTATTTGCGGAGTCGTAAGTAGGTGATTTCCTTTCTGGTGATGGAAAATAAAGTTTGGCCTGCTGGTCATCATACACAGGATCCGAGTCAAACTTAATATGATCATCATCTTCTGAACCAGAATCGTCAAAAGCAACAGAGGCAGAATCATGAGAATTCTTATTAACGGTTTCACTGGGAACATGACCTTGGTAAACACCAGTATACGGATCATCATCATTAGTCGCATCATATCCAAAACTTCGGTGACTAGAATGAGGAATATTTTCACCAAAATCAGAAGTGCTTAAATAAGAATCAGAAGAATTGATTTTGGGATCTTTTGAAGTAGTTTTTTCTCCAAAATAATTGAAGTTCTCAGTTGAATCATTCTCAAAGCTACTCATGGATTGAGATTCAGTTCTCCCAGTTGAATCATTCTTCATAATCATTTTGTCTCTACTGTCCTCTTTTGATAAGCTTTTCTGCATATACCTATCACCTTCTTCAAGGCTAGAGAATGAATTATCATTATTAATTGAGCCTATGGAACCTGAGGAGACTTGTGACCCAGGCCTATCCGAAGTGCCATGACTTTCATTGTGATGTCTTGTTACTCTAGCTAGATTATCACGTTGCAAACCATCCGTCCTTTCATGTTGAAACCTTGAGTTTCTATCAGGTGAAGAGCTGATCACTGGATCTTTAGGAAAATGTTCATGGATGCTTGAAGTACCATACTTTCCTGGTTCTCCAACTACTGAAGTACCATGATTATCATCATGAAATTGTCTTCTCGCTCTAGCCAGATCTTCCTGTTGCAAACTATCGATCCTTTCATTCTGAAACCTAGGATTTCTATCAGGTAAAGAGCTGGTTGATGAATCTTTGTGAAACTGTTCACGGGAACTTGTATCATACATTCCTGGTCCTCTACTGCCTCCTGATGACTGTACTTCAGACCTCTGAGATTCTGAGGAATATTGCCTTGGAAACCTTGAAAGTTCTGCAGCAGCTCTGGCGGCTAGGCTTGCACGTTCTGCAGACTCAGCCGCTGCTTGAGCAGCAGAGGTAGCATCCTTAAATTCCATGTTCCAATTCTGCCGGCCAACAGAAAAATTACCATCTGCAGGAAATGATTGCTCTGCTTCCAACCCTTCATCTCTAAACCCTAAGAGCCATGAACAACCATAATTAGCATAAATTTGCAGTTGGAGAACCAAACTGTACAGGTTGTATTCTAGCATATGAATGATACTAACCTGAAGGACCACCTCCATGATGATAATTAGAAGATGGTGCTATGCCTCTGCCACCACCATGTGCAGAGACAAAGTTTTGTGTCCTTGGTGAGGACATCGCATTCTGCTCTGGGATATTTGGAGATGCATTAGGCCTCTTACCGTGATCGAGTGGAGTTCTCACATCTGAAGCTTCAGAATGAGGAGGATCTTCATGGATGTTACCGGCCTTCTGTAAACTACCGGATCCATTCTGGACAATTTTGACCAATGAAGTCAGTAAACGCATAATAACTTGCTCCATCTTAGTCATCAATGGAAAAAGTATCATACCAGCAAGTCATTTGGAGGCACTGACTCCGCCTCCTCTACTGATTTAGGATCCCATTGAACACCATGTTCCACAGCAATTGCTCCCAAGATTCTGATTTTGGTCTGCCCATCAGGTGCCTTGGCAGATAACTTCTCAACCAACTAAAGTACAACAGCCAAAAGACAATAATTAAGAGCACTATGTTACTGAATTTGAGAAATATAAATAGTTCATTATCTTCATATTAAAAGTCAAATTTCAATTGTTGACCGGGGATACTGCAAATTTACCATGCGGCTAACTCCACAATCAGGACGGAGCTCAATTGCTGCACTGATAAATTCTTTTCCGTACTTTGAAGTAAAATGCTTCCGCACATCTAGAAGTTCTGGTATGTCTCCACACCTTGGTGAAGCAAACACTACACTGGTAATTGCTTCCTTCAAGTCAATGGGGCAATTTCTGTTCATCACAGACAATAACATATGAAAACCCTTCAAAGGTATCACACTTAATCATTAGCCATGAGTTAATCCTGGGAAACAGAATGCATTTCTTTATTTGCCACTGCTAAAGCTGATATTCCAAGTAAAATAGCAGAAAGCACCCTCAATTTGGATTAGTAAAAAGATGGGAGCCAGGAAAATAAATCAAACAGTAAAGTACATAAAAACAGTGATGGAAAGGATATATTCTTCAACAGGGACGAGTAAATGTGAAAAAAGAAAAAGGAATTCCCTTCACAAAGGTTCTTGCAAACACTGTTGAATGGACTTTACAGACTTTGGCTAGTTTAAGGGACAGAATAATAGTTTACTGCAGCTTCCAACTGCTAATAGTCTTGTCGACAAAGGGGGCTCAGCTCAAAATCTCACACCGAAGAGATGTTTTTCAGATATTAAAAGATCAAGATATGCACAGCTATAAATATCCTTATCAGGTCATGATTCTACGGCTAACATCACCATCATCACTACAATCCACATAGTAAATCCAAAACACCAGAGAAGCCATCACACAAAGAGCATGACTAAAATATAAGTAAGATAACAAATTCCTATATGTCTAAGAAGAAGCTAGTGATAGAGTAGAGTTGTCCTCTCCCTGTTGTGGTTTAGATCAAAGCTGGCAGGGAGAGCAGTACTTGATAAAGAGAGTTAACAGATTACTACAGTGAGACTAACAATTGGACTAGACAAGGAAAGTTAAGTCATGCGACTACCTAGCAAAATGAGGAGTCCGAGCAACATTATTTTATTTTTTTCTTGGGTTTGAGTTCATCAAAGGAGTTATAGGCCAGCTACAAGCAAATCACATTTGACTGCAAGTGTAAGGCGAGATTTCATATAAACATGGTGCTGTGTCATGCACATATCTCATGCAGATAGAGACTAACATAATGCTAAAGAAACATCATCCACGAAACCAACTTACTTTTGTGACTCAATAATAGGCAAGCGTGCCACAATCAGTTCGCAGTAAATCTCAATAAGATCATATGCTGCTATCATCTTCTCCTCCCTAACTACATGCTCCACCTAACATTAAAGTATGAGATAGATGAGATATTATACTCAAAAGCCAAATCTGAGATACACACACGCACACACATACACATGTTTAACTTACCAACCACAGCTATAGAACTTACCAGACATTGCAATTAGATTCAAGAATATAACTTAAGCTAGCAGAAGTAAAGTTTTTATGATGTGAAGATACCACTTGAAGTATCCCAGGCGAGCATGCATATTCCATGCTTTGGCACACAGTCAAAAGATGCATCATTTGGCTGCTACTCTAGTGCCAAGACTGCACCTCATTTCTGATATGCCACTAATTATCTAGCATTGTGATAGCTAAAGCAGAATCCTACTACTGATCCCAAGGCCAGCTATTCAGTAAGTGCATCAAATGCATGGTATCCACAGGGCGAACTATTTGAATGTCCGCTTGCAAGTATCTAATCATCCAATGTGCCTTTCTAATTTTCATGATTGGATCAAGATCATATCACGAAATTTTTATACAAAGTTAGTCTTATCTGACAACCAAATTCAATCAACAGAACATCATAGCAAAGAACATAATTACATGTAATTAAGTAGGCAAAAGCTCGTTTTTTTTTACCTTATTGGCAGAGAAGAATTACACGGCATAAAGAAGAGTATGACTTACGCGAATTCGGGCAGTCCGGTCCTGGCCAGAATCGAGCAACTGCGCCACTTCTCTTTTCATCTGCTTCACTGCCACTTCCTTCTTGTTCTTCAACAATTTCAACCTTGATGACGCTAGCTTTAACGACGTCTTACTGCATCAAATTTCACAAAGATCAATATGAATACGCCTATCACATAAATTCAAATCAACCAACAGCTATGGGGAGTTGACCGAAATTACCATTTGGCGGAATTGAAGCTCTTGGTGAGCATTTCTTTTGAACTTCTTAAAAAATTCGACTTCTTCATTGTTTTTATCTCTGTGTTTTCAAGGTACAAAATCAAATCCAGAATTGAAGCAGCAACTTTGATTAAAAAAAAAAACTTTTGCGATTGAATGGATCGATGGAAATTAGGGTATTTGGGAAACTGCAGATAGTGGATTGAAATTTGATGGAAAAGCATTAAAGAATAATAATAAGGAAATGGATGGGGTAGTTTCAAGGAAGGATCTGATTCGGTTAACGAAGCAGGACTTGACTTTAACGAAAACGAGGATTGGGTTGAGGAAGTAACCATGAAATTGACCCCTGCAAAATTAAAATGAAATGTCTATAAGGACGTTTCTTGCAGATCATTACATCTGGTTACTAATAATTGTGGTTATTAGTATTACTAGGTCAATTCCGTGATTAAGATATCATTACACCAGAGTTTTCAAGTTCTTTTTCTTTTTTCTTTTTCCTTTTTTTTTGCCTAAAAGTACAGTAAATATAGGAGTACTATATATTACTTCTGTTGTGTTTCATCGAATATGGAGTTTAAGAACAAAAAAATAAAATAAAATGGATTGGTCGAATTCACTATTTACTTTTCCTAGTTTCCTATAATAGTGGGTTTATTCCAGAATTTTGTAATAAGCCCCTACTTATTTACCCTAGCAATGGATGGATTAACCAATGAAATACAAGATGCGGTCCCATGGTGTATGTTGTTTGCTTATGACATTGTGTTAATTGACGAAACTAGCGAGGGTGTCATCTAAAAACTTCAGCACTGGAGAAACACCTTAGAAAGTAAGGGCTCTAAAATAAGTAGAAGTAAGACTCATGAGTAATGTTACGCGGCGCCTTCCTGAGATTCCATGGAAGGGCGGCGTAAGACCAGGCAACTGATGTCAGTGCAGTTGCTATCCACCAACTGAGGTCCCCTCCTTACGCTAGACGAGATTGTCAATGCCGTACGGGAAAACCAATGTCAAGAGCAATTGTGAGAACGAAATTAGAATTGAGAATGGAAAAAAGCTTGATTGCATTAATAAAAGCTATTACAGGAAAGCAACGCGGTGTCGAGGGGGAGAGACACCAGTACCGAGAATTATTTTCTTGCTAGAAAGTTTGATTGCTTGATCCCCTATAGTGCTTAAAAAGATAAACCAAAGTTACAAGACTAGACCTAACTAAGCTAGAGGAACATAATGGAAGTACATAAAATATAACTACTCTATATTTACAATGAAAAGGACTTAGTTTTCTCCAAGGTAGAAACAGGTCCGTCGTCAGCAACCTTGTCTTTGGCATCACGGTCTGCGCCTGCGGCATCGTCTGCACGCGCGATGCTGTTGGCATCTGCCTGCGGCTGGGCACTGGCGAGGGATATCGGTGGGGCGACAGAGGCACATGCGCACTTGTCACTTGGCGCGGCCAAGACCACGGGGCCGTCCGTGGCGCTAGGCGTTGGGAGGCTTGCTAGGATGCCATGGGACGCGTCCAAGGGGTCATGGGGCATGGCTGGAAAGCCGCCCATGACATTCTCCCCCACCTGAGTTGGCGACGTCCTCGGCGCCTTACTTGCAAGATAATCATCAATTAGGCTCTTGCAGGCTTTGAGGTTTGTTCCCCTCTCCCAAGTATTCTCCTCTGCATCACAGCCCTGCCATTTCACCAATAACTCTTGGTGATCTTTCCTTGAGGCGTGAATCACTCTATCATCAAGAATAGCTTCAGCACGCCTTTTCCCCGTTGAATTTGGGCCTCGAATACTTGGTATTGTGAGTTGGCTCCGTGAAGGATCCTCCATGTCTTCCCGAAAAGGTTTCAGAAGACTGACATGGAAGACGAGATGGATTTTTCACCAAGCTGGGGTATCCACCAGGTATGCAACTTTCCCAATGCGTCTTTCAATGGATAAGGGTCCAATGTATTTTTAAAATAGGCGAGGGTCATGGACCCCCGCAAACAAGTATCGCTTTAGAATTTTGACCATCACTTTGTCTCCTACTTGGTATTCAACAAAGCGACAATTTTGATCAGCATGCCTCTTCATCCGCTTTTAGGCTTTGACAAGATAGCTCCGCTCTATCTCCAAATTTTGCTTCCATTCTTTTGAGAAGCTAGCAGCTCGAGGAGATTTTGACATGTTTGGTGCATTCACGGTGTGTGGGAGTAGCGGTTGCTGTCCGATAACAATTTCAAAAGCGCTTTTGTTTGTACTAGAGCTCTTTTGTGAATTGAAACACAATTGAGCAGCATCCAGAAGCTTCACCCGGTTCTTATGTGATCCGGTTACAAAGTGGCAGAGATATTCCTCCGGTATGCCATTGAACCGCTCCGTCTGGCCATCAGATTGCGGATGAAAACTTGAGCTGTGACTCAGTTTGACCCGAGGCACTTAAAGAGTTGGGTCCAAAAGTTGCTAGTGAAGCGTGAGTCGCGATCACTAACAATGTCTTTAGGCAGGCCCCAATATTTGACGACATGAGAGAAGAAGAGTCGAGCTGTATCCTCTGCTGAGATGTATTGTGGGGCTGCAATAAAGGTAGCATACTTGGAAAACCGATCCACCATAACCAAGATAGTTGTGAGATCTCCGACCTTGGGCAATCCGGTGATAAAATCCAGGGGAACACTTCTCCAAGGTCTCTTTGGGACAGTTAGTGGTTCCAAGAGTCCCGCTTGTGTCAAGCGGTCCGGCCTGTCTTTCTGGCATACTAGACAAGTCTTCACATAATGGGCGACGTCATCGGCCATTTGAGGCCAATAATATGCACGACGAAGTAATGCCATGGTGCATTCTTCACCGGGATGGCCGGCCCACAGAGTATCGTGACATTCCGCCAGAAGAGTCCTTCGCAGATCTCCTCCTTTAGGAACATAAAGTCGGTTCTCTTTCACTTTTAGGAAATCATCTTCCATGTAGAACTTGCGAGTCTTGCCTTGTCCTACCAAATCAAGCAAATAATGTGCAGCAGGATCCTTGATGAGTAGATCCTGTATTTGGTCTTTGATGGTGGTAGCTACTTCACTCCCCCTTAGGGTGGCGAGTAGGCACACCGATGCTAGATCATCTCTCCGGCTGAGCCCATCAGCAACATGATTGGTCTTCCCACTTCGGTACTCCAGGTTGAAGTGGAATTCAGCTAGGAGTTCCTGCCACCTGGCCTGTCGACCATTCAGCTTCGGCTAGGTCATGAAATGGCTAACAGTTGTGTTGTATGTCTTGACCACGAACGGGGTTCCCAGCAGATAGTGCCTCCAAAGGCATAAGCAATGGACGACAGCCAATAGTTCTTTCTCATGGGCGGCATAGCGTCGCTCTGCATCCTTTAGCTTCCGGCTCTCGTACGCTACAGGATGCCCTTCTTGTAGCAAGACTCCACCAAGGGCATAGTCGGAGGCATCCATTTGTACCTCGAATGGCTTGGCCAAATCAGGGAGGGCCAAGACAAGGCTACTAGACATAGCCGCTTTCAATTTGTTGAAGGCCTCCGCTCGCCTGGGTCCCCAATCCCAAGGTGTGACCTTCTTGAGGAGTTCTGTCAATGGCACTGCAATGAGGGAGTAATTTTTCACAAATCGCCGATAGAAGTTGCATAGGCCAAGGAACGCCCTCAAGGCATGGATATCCTTAGGAGGCGACTAATCTGTGATAGCCTGAATTTTCTATTGGTCCATCTTGATCCGCCCTTCCTCGATGACATGTCCGAGGAAGTCAATCTGTTTTTGAGCAAAGGAGCACTTAGACAGCTTCGCATATAGTTCGTGCTCCCGCAATCGAGCTAGGACCTTCCGCAAGTGCTCCAGGTGTTCTTCAAGTGTTTGGTTATATACCACAATGTCATCCAAGTATACCACCACGAATTCGTCAATGCACTCTCGGAAGACTTGGTTCATTAGGGTGCAAAATGTGGCTGGAGCGTTAGTTAAGCCGAACGGCATAACCAGGAAGTCATATAACCCATATCTTGTCACACAGGTCGTCTTGTGCTCATCATCCTCTGCAATCCGAACTTGCCAATAACCTGTCTTCAGATCTATCTTGGTGAACACCGTCGCACCACCCAGTCTATCGAACAAGTCTGCCATTAGCGGAATAGGGTACTTGTTCTTCACGGTGATTTTGTTTAGAGACCGATAGTCCACACAGAGTCGCATGCTGCCATTATGTTTCTTTTGGAATAGCACAGGCGACCCGTATGGGGACTTGGAGGGCACAATGATCCCTGTGTCTAGCATTTCCGTCAACTGTCTCCGAAGCTCGGCGAGTTCGGGTTGTGACATTCTGTAAGGCTCCCCGGCGGGTGGCTTCGTGTCACGCCCCAAATTTGAGGGACATGACCGGCGCACGACCGGGTAGCCCCAGCCAAGCGAACCTAGATGCCTTTCCTGACCCACATGTTACCCCATGTTTCCTTACTCAATTATTCCAAGATTTTGCCAAATGATTAATTAAGAACACTTTTTAATTTACAAAACACATACATACTTACATAATAGTAATGACACCAACTCGTTACCAATGTATGAAATACGGATCTACACAAGTTTCTAACCCACATCTACTGTCTACGGAGCCTCTAAAAGTACAACAGGATAATATAGTATTTGCCGGTAACAAGGCTCCAGCTATACCTTACACAAAATCAAAAATAAAACTCCGAAAACAAGCGGCCTGAGCCACGCAGGGCCCCGAGAGGAAAGGGGCTCACCAAAAAGCTGATGAAGGACGAAGGGGAGCTGCGATCGGTGGACTAGAGTACCTGCTACGGATCCACCTATAATCATAACACGAATGTAGCGCCCCCGGCAAAAGGGACGTCAGTACACTTGAATTGTACCGGTATGTATGAACAAACTTTGCTCCAAGTAAACTCGAACCATAAGCAAGTAAGTAGCAGTAATAAAAGCGACAGTCAAATTCACAAGGAGGGAACAATTAAGCCAACAGGTATACAATCCCTCACCCATAAACAAGCATGTAATTGTAATGGAAACAACAATCAAATCCACAAAGAAAGAGCAATCAAACCAACAAGTTTACAATCTCTCCTGTTTCCCCTTCCACATTTCCACACCAATAATTTCACAATTTGTTCATAGTTCATTTCAATAGCGATTTCGATCGCTTTCCAACCTTATTACCTCGGCCACCCTGATTACCTCGGCCACCCTTATCACCACAACCCACACCTTATTTCTCCGTGTTGCGGCGCGCAACCCGATCCCACCGAACAATCACAATTCACAAACAACACAACAATAACAACAACAATTCACAAAGAATAACAACAACAATCCTCAAGAAACAACAACAATGACCCTCAAGGAATAACAACAACAATTTACATGAACTTCCATAGCCAT